TATATGTATTAGATAAATAAAAAAAACACTTTTTTTATGTGGTTGCCTAAAAAACCTTCAAACCATGACTCAACTAATTTCCCTTAACTGCAATAGCAAACAAATCAATTTTGTTTTCGGATCTGTTATTATCAGAGATTGATAAAAGTCGTGGGTGCTGTGATTCAAGTGCTAACATTTCAACGAAAGAAGTGAAAAAGAAATGGATTTCCCCTTGGTTTTGCAATCTGAGTACAAAATCACACGAAAATGAAGTTCTCACTTTAACAGCTCCATTTAATGTTGAGTCAGTGATAAAATGTCAAGGCAATCTATCTCTGTGCTCATTATCATATTATCATTGAATTCCGTTGAAATGCTTGTAAGCGCACACGGTGCGTATACGCAACCTGCCTTAAGCGACTAAGATACCAGATTTTATGACTCATATTTGGGATGCCAATTGGCCCGGCTAAGTGAAAACCGCACTCAGGCTGCCCCATTATCCATTTCCCATTACCCATTACCCATTACCACCAACAGATCAAAGTCAATCTTCTGCTCGGCCTGCTGATCAGTAAAAAACTCACGTATCTCATGAGCAACTTTTTTGTAGATCGTCTCGAGGATGGGGATGCGGGGATCTTGAGGGGGAGTAAGTGCAGCAGTAGCTGGTTTGCCGGCCTATGGGCGGTACTTAAGCTCACGCACACGATCGCACACCGATATAGTTATATATAGAAGGCACTTTTTGCGCGCCTCAAAAATTGTTATTGCACATTTAAAGGCGTCATTATTAGCGCTACAATTGTCCATGAATTTCAAATGCAGCCGGAGTCCACGCACTAATTGGACGCAGTAGGAGGAGCTGGAGGAGCAGAAGGAGCTGGAGGAGCAGGACCTGGATCTGGAGCAGGGAGTAGTACCGATCTTGCATAGCAATAGCATTGCTCTCTCCGTTTTTTTTTTGTTTTTCGGCTACTCTTAGTGGGTTATCACATAAATTGTGCGCACAAATCTTGATCTGCAAATCATTTTCGACAACTTTACTGCCCCGAGGCGGGGACTGAGAAGGTGTGGTGGGGTAGTGGGGTGGTGGGGCAGTGGGGACCCAGTCTATATGCATATGTATGATCGTAACTTTGGTCCGCTATCTGTCGCTGCGATCTCGATCAGAGTGCGCATGCCACGATTCACGATCGCAGGCAACAATATTTTCTGTAACTCTGCGTTTAGTTATTTTTTATTTTTGGTCGGCATTTCCTGTGGCACTATTAACCCATTCTCTGGCAGAACTAAAAGGTTCAAATATCGAATTTCAAAAAAGTCACGAATTTCTGATAAGTTTCTTTGAGCGATGACTGTATAATTGTATAATAGTCGCCTTGTCTTTCAGTATATTAATTCATGTAAAGACATATGTTCTTGTGTAATTTTTAAGCAATTTTTATATAATACCTGAATTAATAAAATAGTAAATATATGAGCTAAGAAACTAACGATTTAAAAAAAATTGGTAATTAAGCATATATATTTTTCACAAACAGTTTAATTTCGTTGTATGTCTGTAGTTTAAGTTTCAATAGTAGTTTTATTTGTCACCAAAAACATTCCTTTTTAATTTGATTTCGGAATAAAGTAACCTATAAAATAATTCTGAACTACAATATATTCTATCTAGGTAAACACGCTATAATTTTTTTTAAATTTTGTTAAATTTTAGAAAATAGTTTTTGATTTGCACTTTTACTCCTAGTTATAATTCGAAATTTCAGAATGAAAGCTTGTCAAAATTTTATCAAATAATTGGATGAGCTCTTAGCAGTAAGTCAAAATTTGAATGGTGTTCTTAGACTGAACATAATCAGAAAATGGGTTAAGTATCTCAATCAGTGGAAGTTGAATTATTCGGTTGGTCCGTCCAGCAAGGCGGACACTTAATTTAGGGGCCCAGCACTAGCGGGAACCGTCCTGTTCCTCCTGTCAGCGACTAATGAAATTTATGCATTTATGCTGGAATCCTCGCCAGCGCCTCCGATCGGAGGAGAACGAACGGGCATCGGACGATGATCCATGTTAATGTCCATCAAATGTGCCAGGGGTAAAGCAGCTGTCAATTCGATTGTTGGACATGTCCACATGTCCATGTTGCAATTTGCAATTAGCCGCACTGGCAACGGATATGGCAGAGGATGGGGATTGGAGTGCGGATGGGGATGGTGATGGGGATGGGGATATAGACTGGACATAGGATGCCCTGCAAGTGTCGCGATGCGCGTTTCCCGTGAGAAATTTCAATTATTTTAATTAGCGTGGCGATCGCGGTCGCTTTATTAGGCGAAACCGATCGATGTAAGCGCGTCTGCGGCTCTGCGGAGTCTGAAAATCGAGTTGAAGTATCTGTATCTGGCCAATTTCCGCTGCACGCAACACTCGACGTCGCTGCCGGCGTCGCTGCCTCGAAGCTGGGAGATCGTAGAGTTCGGAGCTCGGTGCTGGAATTCCAAGTTGATAGCGAAGACAGTCGCCGCAGAACAGGATTCTGGCCATGGCCGCCTAATGACATGTTTTGGATAATGATGACGGAGCAGGAGAAGGAGAAGGAGACTTGGAACAGTCGACTGGAGATGGCGAGGATGAGGATGAGGACGAAGGCGGAGGAGACTGGTCCGCCGAGTGGCGATAAAAAGCTGGAACTTAATTTAAATTGATGACACTGCTCTCGTCGCCGGCCACTTGGAAAATTGCCCACAAGCGGCGAACGTTTGCCAAGCAAATCAATCTGCATGCCAGCAGTCGGGGATTCGTTTTGCACTCGGACCACCCGGCGTATGAATTCGCTGATGTCTTCGCAGTCGTATGTTTGTATCATCGAGCTTAATTGGCCGCAGCGGTGTCAATTGCAGCGCCACCACTGCCATCACAATGAGGGACCAATGACCAGTGGCTGGTGAGTACTGAGTAGTGAGTAGTGTTTAATGGCCACTGGACACTGGACACTGGCCACTGGCCAATTCCCCGGCCACCAGCGGGGCACGAATGCGACTTGCTGGCCAAGAGTGTCGCCCGCTGTGATTGGGAATGCCAATTTCAGCAATTAACAATGGCCATAAAAGCCTGGCGGACAGGTGAGCAAAGCCTTAAGTCTTAACTGCGGCGGATGTGCGAATCTCGGATGGCAGATAGCACTCGCCAGATACCAAATACCAGATAGTAGACACCAGATAAAAGGGGCTTACACATGCAGCACTAGATTAGCAGAGTGTGAAGCGGAGGCGGAAACGATCTGAATCTAACTCCGAGTTCGATGCTAAAAATGTATCTCAATCCGATTCCGTGTGGGGCACTAACCTGTAAACAAAAGCCAAAGGCCGCTGTCGAACATTAATCAGCAGATCACAGAGAGAAATATATTGCCAAAATTAGCCATCAATTTTAGGCGGCTTAAAACGTATTTGAATCATGTTATAATAATAATTTTGTTGAATAAACTGAAGCAGATTTAAAAATAAAACAGTACGATCTTGATAAAATGTTATGTTTTATTGGTAATTGGTTATTAACATGACATGTTTAATAATATTTGACAAATTTTATAAATGGGTTTTGTTACATTTATTTAAAAATACATTTGTACACAAAGATTTAAACTCATATATAAAGAACAAGTTTTTTTCGTTTCAACACTTTCTTATCTGACATAATATCCCAAATTATAAAGATATATATTTATATATATATATATATATATTTTGATCGTATTGACATACTTATTAAAAATGGAACAATTTAGATATAACTAAATTCCCTTCTTGATTTAATCATTAATCTTGATTTTATAAATGGACCATTAAATCCGTGAATAAGATGATAAGAAATACAAGTATTTTATCTTTGCTTTACCGAATATTTGGTTAATTGTGTTAGTGTTTACTTGACACTTAATTGCTCTTGGTTAAAAGCTGTATATTTTTCTCTCCGTGTGGCAACGAAGTAGCAACATTTAGGAAAACAAGACACGAGTCATAGCTGTTGCTCTACAAAGTATCCATATTATTGCCCTTTGGCGGAGACTTCACAGCTTCATCATCAACTTCAACTTCAACTTCACGAGCGTTCAAGGCGCTGCAATCGCTTATTTTGGATGGGATGGAATGGGGAAGGGGAATGGGAGGGGGAGGTAGTTCAACGATTCGATAACAATAAGTTGTTGAAAGTATCCGAGATTCAGCGGGTGGGGAAGTGTTGGCCCGACCTTGGGCCGGATTGACCGCTTAGAGCTCTCGAATCTGAATTGGCCAAAAGTGGCTGGCCACGCCGCACCAATCACGCACTCACTTCCTGGCCAGTTGGCGTGACCCATTGGCATTGACCCATTATGCGATGAGTAGTAGTACCCCAAACCCAGTGCCAATTCCAAACCAATTCCTAACCCAATTCCGATTGCAGTCCGTAACAAAGGCAGCGGTATGTGCCGTGCACTCTGGGCGGGAATTCGGAAATAGACACGTTCGACGGCTCTGGCACATAAACAAGTTTGATTGTTACGAAACACGGGCATTGAAATTAAAAAATGAAGACGTCGCAGCGACACCTGAATTATTTGCAGCCCTTATCGAATAAGTACACACAAGCCCCGGTATGAGTCGCAAAAACCAAATTAGAATATCAGACTCACACTCACTTGGTACACACACACACACACATTTAGAACAGGCGATCTGAGCAGCCATTTTATGAGTCGGATGCAGATACAGATGCAAAGATACATATACTGTATCGGCTGGGACGTTGCATGTCCATTCTAAAACTCGCTGGCTGGCAGAAGCCTGAAATATTGAACCGATATTGGGCAAACGCGTTTTCCAAAGCGTCGAGCGATCGGCTCAGTCCGATTCCCGCTCACCAATACAGGCGAGCCACGAGCAGCGAGCTATGGCTATAGCTGTAGCTATAGCGCTCCGATTCGATTCCATTCGATTCGATCCGAGGCCCTCACCTCACCTGCCTGGCTTTCGCTTTCAGTTGCTGCTCGCCGCTGCCGCCGATTGGTGTTGCTTCTTACCTGAGTCGCGTCGTGTTGCTGCTGTGCCGTCGTCGTGTTGCTGCCGTACCGTCGTCGTGTTGCTGTGTCGTGTCTTAGCCACCGACGCGAGGATAATACCCACTTATAAAAGCCTACTCCTTTGGAATGTGGTGAACTTGGGTGTCAAGTTTGTGTTGCTCCTTAAGAAAGTACTGACCTCGTGTTGCTGCTGCAAACTCGTGTTGCTGCCGTACCGTCGTCGTGTTGCTGCTGTGTCTTAACCACCGACGCAAGGATACAGTTTTCTAATAATATCCTACGCCTTTGGCCTTTTTGTGAACTTAAGTGCCGAGTTTGTTACATTTAACTTGTTGCTGCTGTGTACATATAGTGTTGCTTCTGTGTAAACGTGTTGTTGCTGCTAAGCAGTCATCGTGTTGCTGTAGTGTTTTAACCACCGACGCAAGGATAATAACCGCAAATAGTACACCACTCCTTTGGCATGTGGTGAACCTCAGTGTCGAGTGCTTCTGGTGATTCCCCTTTGGTTAGTACCCTGCCCCCAAGGACATGGACTCTGAACAGGAGCCGAACAACCATCGCGGTTCGGTCTCCTCCAGTCGCTCCCTGGAGATACCCGCCACGCCCTCGCGTTCCCCGAAGAAGGTGTCCTTCTCGGACGAGCTGCCCCAGTCGCAGACTCCGGCCCAGCAACCCATCCAGCCGCCAGCTCCCACAGGTGTGAGTCACGTGCTCCAGCAGGCGGCCCAGTATCTGGAGAGATTGCATGGCGCGCGCGATTCACCAGCGGAAGCGGAGAAGGAGGAGGAAGTGCAGCCAGATAGAGATAGTAGTGCCAGCGAAGTCGCCGTCTTGGATTTGGATGTAGTGGATCTCGGTGCTGATGAACCGGCGGCAAAAGCGGGCCCAATTGTGGCCAGCTCGCCGAGTATTCTAGTTGGCAGCGTTGGCAAGCAGGAAGCCATTGCCAGTGCAAATGGAAATGGAAATCCAAATCAGCGGCAATCAAATTTGTACATGGAACGATACAACCTCAATTTAGATAAGAACTGCAGCTCCATGGAGCTGGAGGCGCGCCGGGAAAAACAGCGCTGGCTGCTCATATCCGAGTGCAGTGCACTTTTCGACGAGGGCGAGGGAAAACACACAAGGGAGGCCTTCCGCAAGCTTTTCCTGGACGAGGTGAGTCCTTCCGGGAGGATCCTTAAATGAGAATAAGAAAAACAACAAACATTAATGAGGAAAAATCATATAAACAGTACATATACAAGAGAAAAGATTTTTAAAACAATATGAAAAAGATATTTTTAATAACAATAAAACCAAATCTTTAATATTGCCAAATATTTAAATAGATTTACTTTGGAGTGAAAGTGATACTTGTTTCTACCCTCTTAATCTCAACGAAAATATATTTTTTTTCCCATTTAAATTCGAATATATTATGTAACACTTAGATAAAAACTATAAATTCTTTACCGATCGGTTAATACCCAGCTAAAAAGAGTATGTTTGTTTATGTTCTGTTGACACCCCGCTTAAAACCATCAAGTTTCTTGCTGTTTGCAATAAATTACATCATCAAACGGATCCAAATAAATGGGAATGGGAATGGTAATGGATATGGATATGGGTATCGCAGTGCGATCCAGACCACCTGACCTTGTGCCACTTATTCTGTGGTCCTTTACCCGATCGCTGGTCGATCGTAAAACCCGTTTTTTGATGGGCTCAGTTTTTGCGGCTGGTGTTTACTTTGTTTCGGCTCCCCGGCCACGAGTAATTTGTTTTTATGGGCTCCCCGAAAGTCGTTTAACCAGTCAGGGCTCATCCGTTAAGTATGCACATTTTTCATCATCGCCGGCAGATCGCATCGCCAACTGTGACCAAATGCAAACGTTGCTGCGCATCGATTTGCAGACAATGCTTATTGATCGTGAGATCGAATGCCATTTAAATATTAATAAGTGGCTAATTTATGCCAGCTATCAGTCTTCATCACTGCCGCATAGTTTTCTAGTTTGGATATCGTGGGACCAGAACACTCTCTTGATTATGCTCATTACGTGGGTCAGTCCCTGTGTAAACACTTTCGTGTATATAAATCTTCAATAGCGGGGGCATAAACAAATGCTTCTCCAAACAATGTGAACGTAAATTAATTAACACTTGAACAGAAAGCGGAGACGCATAAATTGAGCGCTTTACAACTTGTTTTTCGGACTTGCTTACAGGAATTCCAGCAGAAGCTCTTCCAGCTGTTCGATCTCGAGCGGAATGGCTATCTCCTGCAAGATCGCTGGATCGAGCATCTCAAGGGTCGGCTAACGTAAGTGTGGGTTGGTAATGCTCCATCTCCTCTGTGTTCCCTGGGATCCTCCTGCTCCTCTGAGATCGCTGATGCTGCTGCTGCTGCGACGGTGCCAAAACAATTAGCTCGCCTTGGAAAAAATAGCTATCCGATCCAGTCCAGTCCGATCCGATCCACACACGCACCTGGCTGGCGTGCTCCAGGCATTCCAGCTGCGCCGACCAGAAGCCCCTGCCACATCCACATCCACATCCACATCCCAGATGCCAGATGCCAGCTCCGTTCCCAGACGATGTCCGTTGCCCATGGCGATGCTATCTGCCTTGTGTGTTAACATATACAACAGCTAACATAGTCCGCGTGCCTCGACAGCCTATAAAGTTGGCTCTGGATTGGGATTGAGACTGTGACTGGGACTGGGACCTGGACGGCACATGCACTGCATTGCAGCCAGAAACTGTCATTGGCTGCCTGTCGTAATGAAGTCATTCAAATACAAATATAGTGCGAGCAGCAGCGATATCTGGGGATGCGGGATCCGGGAGTCCGGGTATCGCGTGCACAGAAAAGAAAATTAAACCGATATGATACCACTGACACATATTTCTATATCCAGCTGATATTTATCAAGTACTCCGAACAATTAAAGCTTCAATACAACTTCATCAAAGCGAATAACATCATCAGGCATTGTAAATATACTTAATTTTGTAACGTAAACACTAATCAAAATAATTTGGCATTCGGCTGCCAACTGCTGATGGAGTACACATGTAAATCAGCAAATTGAATCCGAAAAGATAAATTTGGAATTATATGTGTCAGTGAAAACAGGCTATTGAATTCGAGAACAATTTAAAATGGTATCCAGTTTTTTAAGTAATATTTTCGATAACATCTTGTTGAGCGATTCAACTTAATAAATCAGTTTAATATTGTTTTTATCAATGACTTTTTTAAGATTGTAAATTGGTTTACGATCAATTGGAATATTTATGTAAAAAGTAGAGTTACTCATTTTAAGATTATTGTTAAATGAAAACAAGAATATCGGATTATGGTTCAATGGATGATCTAATCTTTTTCTGTGTACAAAAACCAGGAGAGGCGTGGGTGGGAAGTTTGCTTATTGGGTATCGTTAAACTGGCAATGCTGATATGAATCTTTTGCTTATGTAGCGACGATCGCCAGATGGACTTCGCCGAACAGATCGAATCGGTGGCCTATGTGATCTGCGGTGAAAATAGCAGGGTTAGCTTTAAAAACTTTCGCGATATCTGGCACACAAGGGGGGTGAGTACTGGGAAACTATTAGTAGGGAAATACTTATGATACATGCCCTTTACTCACCCAACAGATCCTCGACAAGCTGTACCGCCTGATAGAGCTGGATGGCAGTAATTTGGTATCCACCAACCAGGTAATGGAGTTCATCTCACACCTGACCAACTCCCGACCGAGGACCGGATTCGACAAGAGCTCGCTGGCCCGACTGGAGCAGCTATTCCGCACCACAGTGGGAAACGAGCAGGAGATTCGAAGGGAGGAGTTCCAGAAAATCGTCACCTCGAAGAATGTGAGTTGCGGGTGTGAGTCAGAAACTGCAATGAACAGTACTATTTTTAAATAACTTGTTTTTGCGGTCTTCCTATTTTCAAGTAACAGTATTTTTGATTGAGTTACTAACTTTTTTTATTTAATTGTTTTAAGTTTTTATAATTATTATTTTGCTGTAGACTAAACAAAAGTTTATTTTTTTTAATAAAATTACATTAATTACCATAATAATATTTGTAAAAAGTTGGTTTGCCAATTACTGGATTTAAATTAATTTTGCATAGTTGTAAGCAGCAAAAATGCGAAAATGCCAATACTTAATTAACTTTGCTTTGCCAACTTTTAACCAGACATCTATGTTATCAATGAAATAATGCAATATATTTAATAATGGTGTATCATAGATATATAATTAAGATATTTTTTTAGTCATACTTATCAAATTTTATTGGTTTTTCCAGCCCTTCTTTACGGAGCGTGTCTTCCAGATCTTCGACAAGGACAACTCGGGTTCCATTTCCTTGCAGGAGTTCATCGATGCAATACACCAGTTTTCTGGTCAGTCGGCTGATGACAAGATCCGTTTCCTGTTCAAGGTTTACGACATAGATGGTTGGTTTGCAGATTGCATACTTTGCTTTTTTCCTGACCCTTTCCTTTAAAAATTATCAGGCGACGGACTCATTCAGCACAAGGAGCTACATGATGTCATACGACACTGCATTAAGGAGAATGGGATGGAGTTCTCCGAGGACCAGATAGAGGACCTTACCAGCGCCATGTTCGAGGATGCCGATCCGCACAATAGCGGGGAAATTACTTACGAGGCGCTGAAGAACCAGCTGCACAAGCATGGTGGCCTTCTGGAAAACCTCAGCATAACGTGAGATCTGCAAGAGATTATAAATTCTGTAAATAGTGAGTAAATTCCAATCCATAGCATCGATCGCTGGCTAGTGCCCATCGCCGAGGATCGGCAGGCGGGAGGAGCGGCCAAGGGCGGATTCTGGAACTCCCTGCCCCACCAGTTTTCGCTGGCCTACATGAAGAACAACCAGGTCTTCGTCACGTACCTCTTTTTCTATATAACCGTCAACCTGTGCCTCTTCATTTCCCGCGCTATTCAGTACCGTGCTAGCAATGGATTTGTCATTATAGCTAGAGCTTGCGGTGAGTACTGATTTTCCCTTGATCTCGTATCTGGATATATTCGTTTTACTCGGGAAAAAAAATAACACTCAACCTTTAGAAGCCATTACATTTACAACCATCGTTTATCTCCTCTGGTAATTATTATTTTATTAGCTTTTTTAAATGGCTAATTGCTTGAGCCATAAAACAAATAGTTTGAAATTGAAAAAGGAAGCTGCGTAAAGCAAATAAAGTTCTAAATGAGATTTATTTGAAAATTCTTTAATATTCTCAAGAACATAATGATAGTGAATTAAAATAGGCTCTTTTTATAGCCTACAATTTTATAAGTCGCCGCACTCATTAGTTATAAAAGTTGAATAATATTTGTTTCTAATTTTCTCAGATGGTTTATTTTAAATAAAATATATGTTCTATCTTCAGGACAATGTCTGAACTTCAACTGTGCATGGGTCTTAGTCCTGATGCTGCGGCATTCGCTGACTTACCTGAGGGGGCGTGGTCTGTCCTCATACCTCCCACTGGATCACCACGTCTATCTGCACAAACTCACTGGCATCACGATCTCCGTACTAAGTTTAGTGCACACAGTGATGCACCTGTTCAACTTCTCGATCATCGTGATCAACGATCCGAATATAAATGCTGGACACTATACCATCGGCGAGTGGCTGCTCACAGATCGTCCTGGATTGTTTGGCCTGATCCCGGGATGCGCCAATCCCACGGGAGTGGCGCTACTTTGCATCCTGATGGTGATGTTCGTGTGCTCACAACCGTTTGTGCGGCGAAAGGGCAGTTTCGAGGTCTTCTACTGGACCCATCTGCTGTACGTGCCCTTCTGGGTGCTGTGCCTCTTCCATGGACCCAACTTCTGGAAGTGGTTCCTGCTGCCGGGACTCGTTTACATAGTTGAGCGGGCACTCCGCTTCATTTGGATGAAGGGAGAGCACGGCAAGACTTACATCAGTTCGGGTTTGCTGCTGCCCTCCAAGGTGGTGCACCTGGTGATCAAGCGACCGCATCACTTTAATTTCCGTCCCGGAGACTACGTCTTTGTGAACATTCCAGCGATTGCCAACTACGAATGGCATCCCTTCACCATCAGTTCGGCGCCGGAACAGGAGGACTACATGTGGTTGCACATACGCACCGTGGGCGAGTGGACCAATCGCCTGTATCGGTATTTTGAGCGGGAGCAGCAGAAGCTGCAGCAGGGTAGCTCCTCGCAGGATATTCCCCAACACATGCACGCCATTCCCACTCCCAGTTTTATGCTCCTAAACGAAGCCCGTAATCCTGCAATGAGCGTGGAGAGATCAGCCACGCCGCAGACGGATTTCCTGGCCAGAAATCTGGCCGTGCAGGCTGTGCCGCCAGTGCGTCCTCCTCGCCAGAATCGCAAGCCCACGACAGAAGCTCCTCCCGATCCTCCAGTCACGAGCGTTAATCGAATCCGCAGCATCAAGAAGAGCCTGCAACGCACGTTCTCCCGGAAGGAGACAGTGGAGCCCAAGAAGGGTATTCCGAATGGAGCTTTCCTCAGTGATGGCGAGCGGGAGGACTCCAGTCTGAAGCAGAGACCGCTGGAGAAGAGCATATCCTTGCCGGACATCAGTGTGAAGAGCAAAAAGCGGAGTCGCCTCAAGGCGTGAGTAGCATTAGAATTAAAATATCATTCAGATACTCACCCATCTCAATCTTACAGACTTCGAGCTTTGGGTCGCTCCGAGTCCGAGTCCGCCTTCGATGAGAAGCGGGTTCGTCGGGCCAGGAACAACAGCGTGGGATTGGCCTACCTCAGTCCGCAGAACAAATCGCTGGCGCAGAGCTTCCGTTACATGCGCACCAAGCCCACAATCATCGCCTTCAAGACGCCCAGCGTGGAGGAGCGGGAGTATCAACTGGCCAGTGGTGAAGCCAATGGAGCAAGTCCGGCCAGCCGGGCGGAGCAGGGTCACGTGGGTTCCAAATCGGATTCAGTGGACAAGTTGCAGGTGGCCAGACTCAGTCTGGCAGCGGAGGTGGCCTCCAAGCCGCTGGAGGTAAGTTGTCGGTAGCTAAACTCCCAACTAACCCATCTAAGCCACTAATTCATCATCCAACCGAAGGACCAAACACAGGCGGGATCGGGCAGCAGAAAGTCCATTCTGCGGCGTCCCACTTTCCTGCGCTCCCTGTCCACCTCCATAAATAACAGATCAGGCGGAGGCGGTGGCGGATCGACTGGTAGCTCCACAACTAACAGCGGTGGCAAAGTCACACTCGATGCGGGAGTCATGGAGGTGCGGGTTACACCAACACACATACCAACAGCCACCCAGGGCTAACCCACTAACCTTATCCTAATGCTAACATTGTGGTTCTCCTCCTAGATCTTCATCGATGGTCCATATGGAGCGCCCTCCAGCCACATCTTTGGGGCCCAGCATGCGGTACTAATTGGCACAGGCATTGGGGTCACACCATTTGCCTCCATCCTGCAGGTACATAAATTTGATATATATTTCGTAATCTGATCTAATTCTGTAACCTGGCGAAGTCCATCATGCATCGCTACTGGAAAGCCCGCCACAGTTGCCCGAGATGCCAGTTCGAATGGGCCAGCGAGATACCCAAGTCTGTGATGAACCTGCGCAAGGTGGACTTCTTCTGGATAAACAGGGATCAAAGATCCTTCGAATGGTTTGTCAATCTGCTATCCCAATTGGAGATCGAGCAGGCGGAGCTGGGAGGGGCCATGGAACGGTTAGTTGTAGATGAATATATCTAAGAGATACAATTAAGCAATGGTTTATCCACAGATTCCTGGACATGCACATGTACATAACGAGTGCTCTGCAAAGGACCGATATGAAGGCAGTGGGCCTTCAACTAGCTTTGGATTTGCTGCACGAGAAAGTAATCCCGGAAAACTTATAAATAACTAAACCCTCCTTTAATACTCTATAAATTATTTTCCCAGGGCAAGCGGGATCTGATTACGGGTTTGAAAACCCGCACCAATGCCGGCAGACCCAACTGGGATAAGGTGTTCAAGCAGCTGCAGGCCCAACAAAAGGGCAAGGTCACCGTCTTCTACTGCGGCCCACCACAGTTGGCCAAAACGCTGAGATACAAGTGCGACCAGTACGGATTCGCCTTTCGTAAGGAGTGCTTTTGAACAAGCCACATCTCTCGTCTCCATCTCCTTGTCCACCTTTTCATCCACCTCTCGCTCTGTGTCAATCCCCCCTCGATCATCGTGTTCTCATTTGCATAAGCAACGGGTTTATTTCGGGTTCGGTTCGGTTTAGCTTAGCTTAGATGGCTATTTATTCGTCACTTGTCTTGTTGCCTCATTGTTGAGTGTGTCCCCAGCTTGTAAATATCTATATCTATCTGTATAATCTATGTGCTCATGCAATAAAGTTTGTTACCCAATGTTCCGTCCAATTCCCAATTGCATCTGGTTCAGAACGAGTACATCGTGAGCTTCTTTGCAGGCGGCTCCGAGTTCTACATTTGATGCCCCGGTCGCAGTAAATCGCTTCAAAATCACTTACAATTCGGACACTCTAATAAAAACAAAAACGAATCGACAAACACTCCACATTACATAGCTTCCTGAATGGCAGATACGGATTACTTTCTCAACCAGGTGCTAAAGTTGATGTCACTGGGCCTGGACATGCGGACAATAGTGATGGTCTCGTCATCAATGTTGTCCACGTTGTAAAACTCCTTTAGCTCGGCAATGGCAGTTTCCTCGATCTGAGTATGAACCAAAGACTTGTTACGCATGCGCTCATACGACTCCCGTTGTTTCCTCTCATCCGCCAGGATGCGCGAGAAGCTTTGGCCTTGCTCCGTGGGCTTGAAGGAGGCAGCCTGTCCCCTCATCATATTGGCAAACGAAGTTGGATCCGAACTGCTTCCAGTGGTCGGAGAAGTAAAGGAGTCATTGAAGGATCCCGATGGCGTGGCAGTCACTCCCCAAGCATTCGGCACGGCCACTGGGGTGGAGGATTGCTCCACCAGGGGTGGGTTATTGGCTCGCCAACTCTTCGATTCGGAAGAGAGACGCTTCCGTTGCTTTTGCGAAAGTTTCTGCGACTGGGGCGTCAAAGAGCTGAAATCTAGATTGTAACTCTTGCTCAGTGGCGTGGTGGATTCCGTTTCGGGGGAGGTTGGTGGAGGAGTTTGCTCCTTCAGGAGCTTTCTCTCAATGGGCATCAGTTCAGGAGTCGGCGGCTCCTCTTGCTTAAGTGTATTGTTCACTTTCAAAGCCGTTTCGGCTTGTTTCCGCTTCTGATCCTTCTTGTCCACAACTCGTGACCAGTTCTTAGCCTCGTTTCGAGCAATTTCCTGGGGTGATGAAGGGACCTCTAAGCTCGGTGCCGCATCGCTGACACTAAGAGTTCTCATCATGCTGGAAATGGCCTGCTGTTCGTACTGGTTTCGAGCACCGTGCTTACGCAAATCCTTTTGTTTGAGCTTGGCTGCCTGCTTCAGTTTGGATTCCTTAAAAGAAAGAGCATTCATTAGATCGAATTTATAGATTTAAGTTGTTAAACACACACCGCATCCATTCTATAATCCAGGTCCACCTCGCAATCGTCTACGAAACTGAGCAAAAGCTCGTCCTCTATAGCCTCTGAAAAAGGGGTGATTTGGCGGTAATCAAATACCCTTTTGAACATGTTTCGATAGTGCTCATTCAGGCATTTCAGAGTCTCCCCATCGCACTGCTCGATGCTGCGATAGCAAAGAACTCTGGCTAGATTCTGGCAAATGAAATCCATGCAGCCCTTCTGCAGCAGTTTGCAGTTGTACATAGCTGCAAACTCAAGCATCTCGCCGCACTTTCGTATGCTGATTTTGTCTAGGATGAGAGATTCACACACGTTTTGTAGCGATTCAATAAAGTACTGGTCACAAATTGTGATCATATTGAAAAGGAACGTCTCCAGATAACCCTGTTTGCAAAAGGTTTCGGTTTCTAAACTGTATAGATAATCCAGAACCGGCTCCATATACTCCGCGGGGACTCCTTCCATGGTGACAGAGGAGCGCTCTGCCCACGAGTGCATGAACATCATCTCAAAGTACTCTAACCGTGCCACTAACATGCACTTATGAGCTTCTAAGACCTTCCCGTCTTCGCACACAATTCTTACATCGTAGAGCTCTGGATAATCCGAACGATGCATGCGATTGAAGCGCTGGCGGGCACTGGGCAGTGGGAATTGATGGTCACGCACATAGCTTTGCACGTACTTAGCCAGTTCGACTAGTTGAAACTTCTGAAGGTGCGGTATGAACATCTGGCAGGTGCGAGTTCGCTCTTGAGGATTCGCGGGCCCCAGACTTTGCTGGATGCAGTCGATATCTAAATAAGAAATTTAATTAGTTATTTTTCGCGATTTTTCTCAGCTATAACCCTTAAATCACCATCTTCTGTTGGCCAGTAATTCGTGTAGATGTGCTTCAGAACCACCTCAAACATCTTTCCCGTCAAATGCTCAAAATTTAGATAAATATCCCTATCCAGATAACAGCGTATGAGTTCTCTGAGTCCTGGCGCCCGACTGAAAATTATGAACTTGTGGGCCGCGAACTTCTCTCCGTCCACATGGAACACTACATCGTGGACAGCATCACAGTCACTGGTCTCGTGCAGCAGCTTTTTGAAGCTGTGCTCCCTTCGTGGCAGTGTGGGTTTACGGAAGTACTTGGTGTGGGATTCCTGCAGAACCGCAAACGATGAGAAACCTTCATCGCAAAACAAGTCGTTGGCGCGGTCAATGTTAGGCAGTCGCTGCAGCTCTATGCGGATTACGTGCTCCCGGGAGATTTCCGTTTTGTTCTGATCATTGTTCTGCCAGATATCAAGGTTGGGCTTTGACTTTTCCTGCAGAGCAGAGTTGGGCAGAGCGATCTGGTTGCACTTCCCCCGATAAACGCAGCCATCCTCAGAGAGGACCATCACTTGATTGCACTTGTAAAGGATTTTCTTGATGTCAGGCAGTCGTATAGGTGAAAAAGTGCATCTGCAAGGAGAATACATATATATTAAAGGATTTAACAACTAACTTATATGTTGTACCTGTAAAACTGCTGAGTGTTCTCGTACCACAGATACACCACATTGGTTTCAGTAAGCATCAGTAGCTTTAGAGCTGCCGCAGAGCCCTTGGCGGAGTTCTTTAAATGGCCACCCATAACCGATACGCTCTTGAGATCTTCGTAGCTAGAAGGGGCATATTTACATCATTTTCTTCAACATAAATAAGTAAGCTTACTTGGGCGTCTTAATGTATCTAGTCTTGTCTGCATAGTAAAGAGTGATCATCTTCTCTTCGCTGTAAATTACCGTGGCTGCATTGTTGGCCTCCACAAAACGTATTGTGGTCTTGGCAGGCAGCTTGATCTGCAGAAAAGACATTTAGACACCACCCATAAATACATAGTAATAACTCACCAATGTGGGCACCATGATGGTCGGCGTGTTGGCTCCGATGCCAAACTGACCCTGATTGGCCCCCCACACGTAGACGCACCTGCTGCCGTAGGCGATTGAGTGCTGATCGCAGGCGATCACACGCACCAGCTCGCTGGCACCTTTGTCACGCAAGGCGACCACTTCCTTGAACTGGGTGAGATGCTCGGTGGCATCACGCACTCCCAACTGATGGTCTGCGTTTAAGCCGCAGGCGAAAACCAGCGAGCGGCTTGTGAGGACCAGTGAGTGTTGGCGGGAGACGCTGATGCACCTTATGGAGTCATCGCCCAGTTTGGACGACACCTTCACGCGCTTGGGGGCGGGCAGACTGTCCTCGACTCCGATGCCCAGGCGACCGCCTTTGCCATGACCCACTGCGTACAGGTGTCCCTTCTTGTCGCAGAACAGGCTGTGGTAGGTGCCCAGGGCAACTTGTTCCAGCAAAAGACCGGACTTGCGAAAGAAGTCCACCGCCTGCGGAGCGTTGGTGCTCTGCTCATTGCCAATGCCCAGATTGTAGTTCTTGTTGGAGCCCCAAACGAGGACATCGTTCCTAGACGGAGATATTCGTGTCAGTAAGATGGGAAGCATCAACTTTCTGCTCGACACTTACTGGGATTCTGTGGCCAAGTCGTCATCATCGCACTTTCGACAGATGGCCTGCAGCGGACACCTGGTGTCCTCGTCCAGGAGCTCCCAACTGGCACCGTACCGGAGCAGCAGTACAGCGCAATCTATAGAGCCGTAGTACAGGGCTCTGTGCAGCGGACTACTTCCCGATTCGTAATCCTGGCCATTGATGTAGGCTCCGTGGTTGAGCAGCCACTCCAGAATCTCGTAACGCCCCGTCGAGGCGGACATGTGCACCGCCGAGCGCCCCTAGAAGATAGAGATAAATATAAGACCTTCTATGGGTTCAGTAATTTCACCACCTTACCAGGTCGTCTATTATATTGGCGAAATTTCCGCACGTCTTGAAAATAAAAGCCGCTAGCTTCTGGTAGTCAATGGAGCGCTTTGTCAGCGCTGCAGTGATAGTGTTTCCATGCTGGCGGTGCCTGCACTTCGTGGTGCAGTCGTATTCCTGGCTCCTAGCGGCTGACATCGAATAATTTATAAATAAACGCCGGGATATCAACCTTTTTACGTGGATTATTTTGTTTTGCTCGCGGTGAAGTGTGACCAGGTGCTCAAATGCGAACGCAACCAATCAAAAGACACAACTAAAAATATCCAATTTTTAGTGACCGCTTAATTTAAAAAGAAATGAGTAATAGAAAACATAATTTAGTTTTAAGTTTTAATCTTAATTAAAGTAAACATGCTTAGTTGTTAAAAAAAAATGGAACGCAATTATACAATTTTTAAAAAGGCATTGACCGATAGAGTATATTATTTTATGTGAGTGACTACTTTAAAAATGAAAATTATAAAAAAAAACATTGAATACAAAATGTAATTTTGGTTTAAGCATTTAATCGAGATTAATGTAAGCAAACTTAAAGGCTAAAAAAAGGTTAAACGCAATCAGAACAATTTTTAAAAATTCAATTCCTCATAGAGAATCAGTAAACCATATATATTTCTTTAACCGAATCTTTATTAAGATATATTCTGTTTTTTTTACATCTTCTGTTTTAAGCAAATAAAATCGACATATTTTAAGTAATCTATTCTAAAAGGAATTGAATTTTTTCGTTTCCCCGGAAAGTTAAAACAAATTAAAAATAGTAACGTAGTCAATAAGGTACACTGCCTTAAACTTAAAAAAAAGTAATTCATATTAGTTTGATTTTTAATTAAGCAAAAGTTCTTACGAAAAACAGTCTCCTAAATGCTCTGTCGATATTAAAGTAATGGCTTAGATATAGTTAACTAACGTGCTTGATCTACATTTGCTATAAACTTATGGTCATGATTTTCCGCTTTGCTTTATTGCGGGCAGTCGCAGTTTTCGCTTTTTAATCAAGACAATGTTTTCGTTACTCCCTCGCTGCGTTAGGATCGATCTGCCCGCCACCGAAATAGCTCCATTCTTGCGAATTATGGAGTAGACACAGACATCCTTGGGAGCCAGCACTCGGGATGGTTTGTCGAAGTTACGGACACGCGGCCTTGAGGTTGGCTTTGTTTCGGTTTCATTGGAACAGGAAACATCCAGGAATGGTAGTTCCTTTTGCTTTATAGGGCAGATAAAGTTGCGAATCCAAGTTTTGCTTTGGGGCTTCACAGTTTGCTCCAAAATCTGAACAGGCTCGCTTTTCTTTGTCGTGGAGGGTAGTTCTTCGGGAGGTTGTGCTTCAGCCGGAGGTTTTTCCGGCTCAACTGGCAAACTTGGCTTGCAGGGTCGAACTTTACCCTGAATAAAAATATACAGTATATAGTACTTTGAAGGCAATTCCTAATTATTTTAAATTCTTTACCATACAAACATGCAGTTTTTGGGCTTTGGCAGTGTCTGCTATGAGTAAACCGCACTTGCACTCCGCATAGCCATGGATTCTGTACAGAGGACCTCGTCTTTTGATGCTGAAGCACTTCTTAACGTGGGCGAAGCGGTTTTTGAAGGATACCATAGATTTTCCACAACCTGGACATTCAATCATCTCCACAAGCTGTCCTATGGAGTACCAAATGGTTTCTCTGGGCTCCACGGCCGTGAGGATTTCATTTGAGAATTCGTCCTTTTTTGGGAGAGTGAAGGATTAGTAATAGCAAACATTGGGAGTGTAGTATAGTCTTACCACAACTTTCTCTGAATCCGACATGTTTGGATCTGCTTAAAATAAGAAAGTAAAAACGTAAACAAATGGCCAAATGTGCGTTACACCTTTACATTTCACTATTTACCCAAATGCAGTTGACTTTTCTTTTACCGGAGAACTTACCTTAGTTTCTACTTTAAAACAAATTAACTTTATCGCATTGGCAGCTTTGTTTTTTCTCAAAATGATTAAATTAATAACAATAACTTTTAACGCATCCACCTTTGGAGTGACCAGCTCTTTGGCAGATGTAAAATCGTATTTCGCCTATCGATATTGGCAGTGTTGGTAAATGGCAGCAGCTTGCTGTGCTATTGTGAACTGCAAAAACAGCTGGCGTTTTGAGTGCACTGCGGCTTTAAACAAATTAGTAAATAAAAAACTGCATTTTACACTCCAATCTTTAGATGGCTTTCTATTGCCTATAACAAAGGATACAAATAGCAATGGGTAAGCTTACGACAGTGCAGGTGTCGGACAGAGGAGGCGATTCATGCCCAAGCTGGTGATGCTCAAATGTTAACATTCTACTTTAACTATCTTTTATGTAGATTCCTCTTCTTGCTGCTTACTCTGCATGTGCGAGTATTCGGCCATGATGGGGGACTATATAGACGTGAACTCCCCGCGGTCCGCCCAACTGGAGGTGACCAGGATCGTCAATCAGCACTTCCCCTTCCAGATCTCCAAGGAAAGTCACGACAGGATCTGCGGACGCTGCTGGAAGACCGTGTCCGACTTCCACACTTTGCATGAATTCGTTAGTGCAGCGCAGAGCTCCTTGCTGGAAACAAAAGTGCTGCTCATGGAAGATGATCCTCTCACCCAGGGAACCTCTTCCTTTCCGGAAGTTGCAAAGCTGCCAATAGAGGATGATGCTCGGGTGCAGGAGCCACCGGAACTTGGCGGCCGCAACTTTTTCTACCCGGAGGTCAAGATAGAGGAACATGAACTGGACCATTTACCCCGCATCGAGATCTTGGAGAGCACTGCCAACACGCAAAGAACTCAGGATCAATTGGAGGGCACTGCCAGACGTTTAAGGAAGCGCCTAAAGGCAGAGGAAGGATCCTCCGTGGACAAGGAGAAAGATGAGGATCTCGCAGAGGGAAATATAGAGCCTGCGCCACCAAAAAAGAGACGTGGTCGCCCCCGAAAATCAGACACCGCAACTGCCCCGCTTCAGAAACCAAAAGAAGACATTCAACTAAACCTAAAGGCGGAAGCGCTCGAAGAGTTCATGGAGGACGTCGGGGACCCCGACTTCTCATGCAACTTGGACGACGAATTGGAGCCTAGCGATAATTCCTCCGAGGACAACTACGGAGGCAGCGGTGGCTTCGACTCGGATTCAGACTTCGAGCTCGACAATCCTGGAAAGCAGGAGTTCGCCGTGCTGCCCAAGAGAACGGTGGTGCGGCCCAAAAAGTACAAGAAGCGGACGAAACCGGCGGAGCCGAAAGTGCGCATGTCCCGCGAGCTGCTGGAGCAGCGCAAGAAACAACAGGAAGAGTACGATGTTATCATCGCCAAGTTCTTTACCAGTGTGCTGCCGTGTGCCATCTGCAATCTGCTGGTGCACAACTTCACCGAAATGCAGCGCCACCACAGACTTACCCACCAGGTAGATCCCGGCTACATGATGTGTTGCGGCCGAAAATTCACGCAGCGCAAAGTGCTAGCCGAGCATGTGCTCGTTCATTGGAATCCCGAGCACTTTAAGTGCAGCGTGTGCGAAAAGTCATTCCAGAACTCACGGCACCTGGAGTCACACCAGCAGGTCCACATGGATCCGGCCATTAAGCTGACATTCAGCTGCGACCTGTGCTCGAAAACCTTTCTCAGCAAAACGGCCATCGACTACCACAAGCTAAACAAGCATGTGCCCAAATCGGAGTTCAAATTCACCTGTTCCGAGTGTAATAAAAAGTGAGTCAACTCTTTAACAAACTATCACTACTTTTTTTACTTTGGTTGACTATCCGAAACAGATTCCTCACCGAGCGCAAGCTGAAGAACCACATGAGCTCCATGCACGACCCGGAGAGCACCATTATCTGCGACAAGTGCGGCAAGCAGATGCGCACGAAGATCATTCTGAAGAAGCACCAGGAGTTAATGCACTCGGACAAGCCGCGTCCGGAGCCCGAGCTTAAGCAGTGCCAGATCTGCGGGGCATGGTTAAAGGGTATGACCGGTTTGAAGCAGCACATGAAGAGCATCCACGTGGAAAGTGCAGGGGAGCATCGCTGCCACATCTGCGCTAAAGTGTCACCAAACGCGAGAGCTCTCAGGCGTCACATATATCACAATCACGAGTGTGAGCGCAAGTTCAAGTGCACCATGTGCGAGAAGGCCTTCAAACGACCGCAAGAGCTAAAGGTGAGTTCGGAGTACCTTCTCAATATCAGTTTAATATCTACTTTATAATAACCCCTGCAGGAACACACATCAACACACACCGGAGAGGTGCTCTACACCTGTCCAAACTGCCCGATGACGTTCTTCTGCAGCGCCAACATGTACAAGCATCGCCAGCGATTGCATCGCGCACAATACGAGGCGGACAAGAACCAGCCGAAGCCGCCAAATATCCTGAAGATATCGCGCAACGCCTCCTCGCAAAATAAGCCCAAACAGGAGATCTAGCACCTAAAGAAAATTCATTGAAATATCCAAACGCCTTTTTTTTACTTTCACAGAATTTTATCGAGTTTAAATTTAGTTACTATCAGGTTATGCCCCACTACACAGTTATTCCGTTTTATGAATTTGTTTCTATTATTTTTAAAAATATCAGAATTGAACTCTTTTGAGTTAATTTAATCAGAGCAAACCCTGTGAAAGTTTAATTTCAAAAAGCGTTTGATACTTTAGACTTAAGCTACAAGTATTTAATAATAAATGCGAACTGGACAATGCTCCAATCCAAACAATTGATAACAAAACAAAGTTGGGAATGTCTTTCTTTCTTTATAATTATTTACAAGGATGGCTTAATTGCACCTTATATAACGCAATGACATTTACATGGTTTCTTTCGTTTCTTTTTTACACATAGTATGCATAACTTTAAAATATTTATATAATAGATACTGTATCTCTCTCACGATTCGCTTAACTCGGTACACAATTCTCGATTTAGCAATAGGAAAAACTGAAAAACTTTACATACGAATAGAATATTATTGTTCATATCTTATGTGGTTGACCCTCGATTGCTGGTGGTTATTTGTTGGGTTAACGCACACGTGGGTTTAAACAAAAAAGATAAAACCACGAAAGGCTCGAGCGGTTCATCTTAGCGATTAGTAGTATGTAAACAGAGCGCAATGTTTTTAGACTTTCAATATCTAGGCAACAGTTATAAATACAATACTTCCGTTAATAATAGTTTGACTTTACTCGAAACGTACCATTGCATCGGAAATTTGTTAGCGCAATTAGTTCCGTGGGAAACGTTCGGTTTGCGATTTGCGACACCATTTTGGGCTTAAATTTATTTTGGGCATGTTTTTGTATGTTGGCTGTTAGTCACGAATACATTTACCAAGTGGAGCACAAGCACGAAACGAGACGAAATGTTTGTAAAACAAAATGTAACTCAAATGTTTATTGTATAGCTACCAAAAACAAACAAAAAAGAGAAATAAAGCCAAGGCTTCAGCGACAATGTGTGTAAATTTAGCTACGGGTTAAACACTCTGTTCATTCATCATATAATCATAGTAAGGCATAAGAAAAACATAAAATACTGTTTTGCGAACTGAAGGGGGACAAAGAACAATCGGGAAGTTCTACAAGATCTGGGATGATTGCAAATGATTTCTTTTTTTTTTGCTTGACTTATTTCGGTTGGTTGACGCGCGTCACGATTTCTCGAACCGGAAGCTGATTTGAAACAAATATCGGCAACGCGCAACATAAATAACAACAATAATTAGATAACAATGACTAAAATTATTTAAAGTAATCTATTAATTTTGTTTCATTAAATGTCTGCGAATGGTTTAGCTGATTTTAAGTTGGTTGTTTTGTAGTAAAGTGTATTTTGTGTGGCTGGATGTATGCAATGTTGGGGACGGCGGGCGATCTTAGACCTTGGCCTGCTCCACCATATCGATGTTGACCTTGTAGAACACATAGGGGAAGTATTCGGACTGGCCAAAGCCGAGGCCGGGGATGTCCACGTTCTGAGGAATAAAATAAATAAAATCAGATTGATTTAAGTGATGACTTAATATTAAAGAACACCCACATCAGCACTGCTGACAGCACCGCCAGCGGAAGCGCCATCCAAGTGGCCATACAGCTGGTTGAGCACATCACGCAGACGCTTCACACTCTTCTTGTTGGGCTCGATCAGGATGGCCTGGAAGTTGACGGGCAGGCCGTACCTGTGGGTTCACAAAATCATTGTTACCATTGCTATCAATTAACGCTTATAATTTGATAACATACCTCAGCACGGATTCAACAAACACACGCAGCGCCTTCACATGGATCAAGGCGCAGAAGGCCTCGCTGAAGTTCACCTTCAGCCAACGAACCAGGGGTCCCTGAAATGGATTTGAGTTAAGAACACCTTTCTGAAGGTACCTATTTTCAACGGGTTACGCACAAACTGCTTCTTCTTGTCCGTCATCAGCTTGGTCATCTCGTTCTTGCCGGCGGCCAGCTCCTCCTCGTTGTAGACAAAGTCGCGCACAATGAACTTGCGCTCGCGGGCATGGAGCTTGAACTCCTCGGCCACCTTCTTGAAGAGGGTCACGTTGAAGAGGCAGTAGTCGCTGTCCTCCTGGATGAGCTGCGACGAGCGGGGAACGATCATGTCGGTGATCTTCTCGTAGTTGGTCAGCCAGTCGTTGGCCATGACCCTGTGAAAAAAATATGCTTTAATATCCATAGCTTAAGAAACAATATGATGTCTAACTTACTTGGGCACAATAACCAGCAGGGTGGTCAGATACTCCGAATCCAGAATGAAGTGCTCCTTCTTGACCAAATCAGCCAGATTCCTGGTCAGCAAGCTGCCACTATAAGGAGAGAAACAAAAATTTAATATGTATCAATAAGATTTATTTATTTATTTAATCCCACTCACGTCTTCTTCTTTTCCAGGTTCTGCAGATTTCCCTTGAGGTTGTTGTAGGCCTGCGACTTGGTCTTCAAATCGCCATCAATCTGACCGATCTGCTTAGAGATAATGTCGGCGATGTTACGCAGCGACTGCTTGATCGGGTACTTGGCCATATCCCATTGGAAGCGGGTCAAGTACTGCGGCAGTTCAGCTATTTGATTCGTAGAAAAAGAGTATTAGTCAATGCTGTATAGCACAAAAATTAAATAGTTCACTTAGTTGACTAGCAGAACAAACGAGTTGTTCAATTAATGTTTAAGTACAAAACGAAATAGAAAAAATACATAGTAATTGATCTAAAAGTTGTATAGAATTAGTTTGAAGGAAACTAGGCTCGAAAGCTATTTAAAATTAAAGTTATATAAATAAAGTTGTATAAGTAAATGAAGTAACTGAAAAATGCTAGTTAGTTAGTCAGATTGGACGCACAGAACATTACATTAGGATTACTCAGACACACACACGCACACTTACAGGATATATAGGTTAAGATTAAAAAGGAACATCGATAAACGAACAATTTGGATGCATTAATAGAGGCTACGGGGATTACGGGGATCTTGGACTACGCATATTAGTCGCAATTGGAAATACCTTTCGTGTCACACGGCACAACACGTTAGCTGGACTTTGAAAAACATAGTGCTGTGTGATAAGTATATATAGACACTCAAAGGACGAAATAAAATGCAAAAAAAGCAAACAGTAACTCAGAGATTGATTAACATTGGCGCTGGGCAAAGCTGCAGTTTTAAGTTTTTTTTTTTTTTTGGTGATTGTTTTGAGGTGAGATTGCTGATATAGCTTAATGGGAATCGGCGTTAATCGTGGCTGTAATGATGTGGAGCGTAGAACAACATTTGGTGATTTGGTGAGCGTACACTGAAAGAACAACATAATCGCTTTTACACTTTTACACTGGTACAAATAATCAACAGATCCGTGTATTTATAGTCAAATATTCATAGTCAAATCGCGAGAAAGCAAAACGAAAGCGCAAACAAAAGGCGTTTGCAAATACCACAGAGATAGGAGAGAAAGGCAAATCAAAAGTGGCGAAAGAAGGATAAAACTTCGTGACGATCACTGGGCAAAATAGTTGCTTCAACAAAAATATAGAACAGAAACTCGTCTGCAATTGCAATTTACTCCCAAGAGTGGACGACGATCAAAGAAAGTGGAGAGGTGTGTGGTTTTTGGGAAACATCAAGTTGCTCAAAAAAAAACATTAATCGAAAATCAGAATCAGATACAGAATCGGAGAAAATAAGAAGATAAATCGAACGAAAAGGAAAGGAAACGAAACGAAACGGGAGAGCAACGGCAACATCAACATGTACACTTATAGTAGGGTATATGTCAACGTCGATCAAGAGATCTGCAAAGTGGATTGGGTTGGGTCGGGTCGAATGGGGACCAGGACCAACCCAGGCATGCTAACCTGGACTCAGCGGAAACTCGGGCGGCTCGGCGGGATCCGTGTCCGGACTGGATCGCCCCTGGCTACTACTGCCACAACAACTACTCACTGGAGACGATCTATGTGTTGGTGTTAAATTAAATCCATTGTTTATATTTAATTGACTCGGTGTAGAACGTTTGCTATAAATTTGATCGGCAAGAGAATTGAAGAAAGAGCGATAACTAGAGCGCGGTGTGGTCGATGCTTGATGCCAAAATGTCATTGCTTTGGATAGGTGGTGTTGGTGTTGCTGTTGGGTTTGCTGGTGTTGCTGTTGGGTTTGTTTCTGTTGCTGTTGTGTCTGTTGGTGTTGCTGTTGTGTCTGTTGGTGTTGCTGTGGGGTCAGTGGGTTGTTGGTTGCATGTTGCTGTTGCGTCTGTTGGTTTTGGTTTTGCTGTTGCTGTGGTGTTGATGTCTCGTGTTGCTGTTGTGCACTGTCAGTGTAAATTGCGAAATGGCAAAATGATCGGGTGGGCAATGTGCGATGGGGAGTGATTTAAAAAAGAAATACATTATTATTGCATTTGACTCGGTTCTCGGTTCTTAATCAACTGAAACATTTATGGATTTTCTGGGTTTTCATATTGCTGGTGTGGTGTGTGGTTTTTGGATGAGGGCAGGCAAAGCGGGTGCGCCATTGTTTCAGTGTGGTGTTGTATCTTGTGTTTTTACAGCGTGTTTAGTGTGTTTGTTCTTTTGGCTAAGCTTAGCGGGATGACAGCGGGTGACTGGCTTTTTTTTTCTGGTTTTGACTTGGTTTTTTTTTTGTCTGGGGTGCTGGCGATTTGGCAACGGTTCTACAAAGTAGGTAATGCGATGATAAGATACCTGCTCTTCTTAGAGTTACGCTTGGGCTTATTGAACCACCAGTCGAAGGTGTCCGACAGATCGGACTGCACACTGTGCGGACTCTTGGGGTCCTCGTCCGTCTCCCCATCTTCGGGGGCCGCCGCCGATGCATCGCCCTCGTCCTCCGACATGGACTTTTGCGTGGGCGACTGCAGCGGATTGGCATGCGGATGATGCACTGCCTGCTGATGCGAATGATGCGTATGATGATGCAGCTGCAGCTGCTGGGGATGCGTGGACGCCAGATGCAACTGGCTCACATGGCTGCCGCTGCGGAAGCTGAGCTTGTTATTGTTGATGCTGCAAGTGTTGTTATTCAGCCGCTTGCTGTTAGAGCGGGACATGCTGCTGTGCACCGAGCTGCTGGTCGTGGGCGCCGACGTGGAGAAGTATGCCGAGGAGCTGAGCGTCGAGCAGGAGGCGGGCGCCGCCCCACCACCGGAGGGCGAGGCAGCCGCAGCGGCCGCGGCACTGGTGCTTGGGCCGCTGCCCAGTCCGCCG